AAAAATTAACTCAAAATGGATTCAAGACTTGAAGCGAAGAAATCATAAAACTTCTAGAAGAAAATACAGTCAGTACAGTCTTTGGCATTGGTCTTAGAAGGATCTTTTCAAATACCATGTCTACTTGGATGAGGGAAACTAAAGAAAACATAAGCAAGTGGGACTTCATCAGATTAAAGAGCTTCTACAAGGCAAATGAAACCAGGATCAAAATGAATAGACAACCCACCAGCTGGGAGAAAATATTTGCAAATCATATATCCAAAACGGGGTTACTCTCCATAATGTATAAAGAACTCACACAACTGAACAACAAAAAAACAAACAACCCAGTCAAAAAATGGGCAGAGAAAATGAACAGACACTTCTCCAAAGAAGATATGCAGATGGCCAATAGGCACATGAAAAGATGTTCAACATCACTAATCAACAGGGAAATGCAAATCAAAACTATACTAAGATATCGCCTTACACCAGTTAGAATGGCTATAATCACCAAGACAAAAAACAACCAATGTTGGAGAGGTTGTGGAGAAATGGGAACCCTCATTCACTGCTGCTGGGCATGCAAAGTGGTGCAGCCTCTATGGAAAACAGTATGGAGAGTCCCCAAAAAACTAAAAATAGGGCCTGCTGGGTGGCACAGCAGTTAAGTGCTCATGCTCCGCTTCAGTGGCCCGGGGTTCTCGGGTTTGGATCCCGGGCACGCACCAACACACCATTTCTCAAGCCATGCTGTGGTGGCGTCCCACATAAAGTAGAGGAAGATAGGCACAGATGTTAGCCCAGGGCCAATCTTCCTCAGCAAAAAGAGGAGGATTGGCATCGGATGTTAGCTCAGGGCTGATCTTCCTCACCAAAACAAAAAAAACTAAAAATAGAAATACCCTATGAGCCAGCTATCCCACTACTGGGAATCTATCCAAGGAAAATAAAATCAACAATCCAAAGAAGCTTATGCACTGCTATGTTCATTGCAGCATTATTCACAATAGCCAAGAAGTGGAAGCAACCCAAGTGTCCCTCAACTAATGATTGGATTAAGAAGATGTGGTATATATATACCATGGAATACTACTCAGCCATGAAAAAGACAAAATCGTCCCATTTGCAACAACATGGATGGACCTGGAGGGTATTATATTAAGTGAAATAAGCCAGAAAGCGAAAGACAAACACCACAAGATTTCACTCATATGTGGAATATAAACCAACATTCAGACAGAGAGAACTGTATAGTGGTTACCAGGGGCAAGGGGGTTGGAGGGTGGGCACAAGAGGTGAAGGGAGGCATTTAAATGGTGACTGACAAACAATAATGTACTGGGCTGGCCCCATGGCTTAGCGGTTAAGTGTGCGCACTCTGCCACTGGCAACTCGGGTTTGGATCCCAGGCATGCACCAATGCACCACTTCTCCGGACGTGCTGAGGCCGCGTCCCACGTAACAGCAACTAGAAGGATGTGCAACTATGACACACAACTATCTACTGGGGCTTTGGGGAAAAAAAGGAGGAGGATTGGCAATAGATTTAGCTCAGAGCCAGTCTTCCTCAGCAAAAAGAGGAGGATTAGCATGGATGTTAGCTCAGGGCTGATCTTCCTCACAAAAAATAGAATAAAATAAAAGAATAATGTACAACCAAAATTTCAAAATGTTATAAACTAGTAAGACATCAATAAAAAAAAAATAAGCAAGAGGAACAGAAAAGACACATAAAATGTCTCTCTTTAGCGTAAGTTGACCTCAAGCCTGAAGAGAGACTTCTTATTCTTCTTGTCTCTGAACATTTCGATGCTGTTACCTTTCCAGCTGCTCCATCTTTCAGGTGAAGTAGGCTGCTACAGGTTAGCCTGGGAACTTAGATACTCAGCGGTGGAATTATTCAGCAACTTTTCCTTAGCAAATGGCTACTATGGAAATATTGGGATATCCTACATTATAGGATACCTATTGGGAAGGAGGACATCTATAGCATGAAGGTGTTGCCCTTTGAGTTAGAAATAATCAAGATCTTGGGGGCCAGCCCTAATGGCCTAGTGGTTAAAGTTTGGCGCACTCCACTTTGACAGCCCGGGTCCCGTCCCCAAGCATGGACCTACACCACTCGTCTGTCGGTAGCCATGCTGTGGTGGCAGTTCACATAGAAGAACTAGAAGGACCTAAAACTAGAACATACAACTATGTACTTGGGCTTCGGGGGCGGGGGGTGGGGAAGAGAGGAAGACTGGCAACAGATGTTAGCTCAGGGCAAATCTTTGCCAGCCAAAAAAAAGACCTTGGTTTATGGAGCAGGGACACTTTCATGCAGGCCTCAGTGCCAGGTCACTCCTGGAGTTGGATCAGGACCAAGACCCAACTGGCCCGGTCCCAAGTCCATAAGAGCCCAGGAAGGTCAGGCTGGCAATAGGCCCTCCTTTCCATCCCTCCATATTTGCTCTCTCAGGCATAATTTAGACCCCATTTCTTAAAGATTTATGCACAAATATCTATCCTGCTCCTTCCTCCTTCCCTCACCTGCCACCTCCGTGAGCTAATGATACTCTTTTAAAAGAGCTATCTCAAGCAAACCAAATTTTAGTTTTTCCCTTTTCACTTCATTAGTTCTTCAATACCTATAATGCCTTATCAAAGTAGAGGTATTTCCTGATATTATGTACTCACACTTGAACTGGCAAGTTAAAGATACTACATGTCACTCTCCCACAGATGGTGTCCCCGTGCCTCTAGTGCAAAATAGAAAAAGACACCCCATCCTCAAACACTTCACTTCCATCTGTTCCATCACTAATTTTACGTTACAAATGAAAAAACTAAGGCTAAGAGATTAATGGCTAGTACACAATGTTCCTCTGATTTTTCACCCAGAACTAACCAGCAAGTCTTATTATTACGTGCAAAGGAAAAAAACCTCCTTAAACACTGAGGCACACCATGCCAGCCTTCATGCAGCCAAATGTTTAAAAACCTGCCAGTGGGCCGGCCCCATGGCTTAGCGGTTAAGTACGCACGCTCTGCTGCTGGCAGCGTGGGTTCGGATCCCAGGTGCGTCCCGACGCACTGCTGCTCTGGCCATGCTGAGGCTGCGTCCCACACACGGCAACTAGAAGGATGTGCAGCTATGACATACAACTATCTACTGGGGCTTTGGGGGAAAAAAATAAATAAATAAAATTATAAAAAATAAAAAAATAAAAAATAAAAACCTGCCAGTTAGATACTGTGCTAGGCTTAGTCAGCTTTTTTCCTCACAATAATTGTCCTCCTTGGAGAAAAAGTCTGTTAAACCCAAACTGCCAGTTTATGCAACAATAAAGCTATAAGATGCAAGAATACCACGAATTTTGAGACATGTTGACAACAGAATGAAATGCAGGTAGGCACAAATTTGAGAGACAAATACAGACAAAACCATGACGAGTGTGCACAGCTCATGGCAAAAAGCAAGGGCTAGTAGTGTTCTTCTAGAAGCTAAGAGAGGTCTCCTTTATATTGTGTTCTTGCTCACAAAGAATAGTTGTGAGGCCCGTCTCCTTTTCACAAACAATTCAATTGGTACTATAACTCTTATGATGAGGAAACACAAAACTTGACGTTCAGGATAAGAAAGCATGTGTACAGCTATAGTATATGATTTTCCAGCCAATCAGAATAAACCACAAAATAACAGCCTTGGAGTTTTGAGGCAAAGAGGGGCAGAGTCATGACCAATTTGAACCAAGAAGTAAATTTTTAAGAGGCAGAGCCTCTAGAAAATGCCAGTTACTGGGGGTAGGCAGGTAAGTGAATGGATGAGTGGATAAGCTCCATCCTGGAAGCCCATAAATTATGACAGTCCACCTTCCCAGAAACCAGAAGCTCCTTAGCCTCAAGTATCTCACTGAGTCCCTACTCTCCAATTCAACTCACCTGTATATTGATTCCTGAAGTTAACTCAAGGGGAGAAAATTTACTTCTATAGCTTAATAAGCTTTGATAGACTCACTCACACCAAAGGTGCATGTAAAGTTATGTGCTGCTTCCTTGTTTTCATGGGGAGAAAGGGGTAAACCAGGATACAAAGAGGAGACAAATTTGACTTAGACTCCGGTTCTGCTGAAGGGCAGCCTTGCTAACCTTTTAGCAGGGACAGACAGAAGCATCATTCCACATGTTCTAAGATTTGTTTTGTGAAACAGTTTGGCATCCTGCAGCTTTGTTACAAGGAGATTCACAATATTTCCTCAACTGATCAACATTGAGGGAGCTAGAAGTCTGAACACTCTAGGTAGAAGAACCCTTTTCTACAGGGGGTCCAAAATCTTTTTACTTCTAATTATTCTCACATGGTCTTCTAAAGGTATCTTACCAACAACTGTTAGTGACTTTCTCCCCAAGTGACAACACAGTAAGTTAATTCCAGCTGAGACTGGACGCCAAACAGTCTTACTCCAGGGCTCACACTTTAAATGGCCCCTTGGCAAGAAATGCCTGCTGCCTTTACATGAGGCTGATGCAAAGAGTCACTCACTTGCTTCTTTGCAGCTCTGATTCCTTTCAGCTGTGATTCGTTTTCAGCAAGGCAGTCAGCCAGGAGTAGGTCCTTCTACTGGTTTAAAAACCCACTCTCAGGAGGTGGGCATAAGAGGTAAAGGGGCACATTTATATGGTGACTGACAAATAATAATGCACAACTGAAATTTCACAATGTTATAAACTATTATGATCTCAATAAAAATTTTTTAAAAATAGCCACTCTCAGGGCTCTAGTAACTGGACAAATGAAGGCAACAACTGTCACCTAGTAAAATTTTTAAGTGCACATTAGCTTTTCATTTGTTTAAAACCTGTTATCAAACATTCCATTCCAATGTTATTCCATAACATTAGTCTTCCAGTGTTATTACCCTGCCAAATTTCCCAACAGGCCAACTGGAATTCACGCATGTGTATTAATAACTGTCATGCAGGCCAAATAAGCTCTGTGAAAGCAACACACAAAGCACATGGAACACACAGCATAATTGATCTATTCTGTAGTGAATTTTATTGAATTCATAGGGGGCATTCCTTTATGTAAAACAAAAAACTAAAGTTGTACAAGCATGCATTGTAAGACATACCAATGATGAGGCCTGCTCAGGCCAAACTGGAGCAGACAAGTTTATCCCACAGCCCACATGAAGGTGCTTTCATTCAATACAAACAGGCAGCAACAGTGGCAGCAACAGAATGAGACCATAAAGGCACTGGAACTTTTTGTGAGCTCCGGCTAGACTCTGACCAGTCTATCATTCTTTTCTTACCAGCCACATAAACAACAGAATTCATCTGCTAATGCCAAAAACTTTAAAGCTCTTAATCTAGTTGCAAATGACTACAATCGAGGACCTTTTTTTCTAGCTAGCTGCTTTCCCAATTCCAAGTTGTCTAGCAGGTTAATTTAAACATAACAGAAAGTGTCCTCTGGCTGGCTGCACCACGCACTGGTGACAGGGACAGGTTTAATGTGTTTTGTGCTCAGGTTGCTGGGCCTCCTGGCTGGTTGTATCCTTCTCTGTGCCTTTGTTCTGAGCATTCTGAGACTCAGTCAGCTGAGGATAAAAGGGACCTACCAGCCAGTTGAGGGGCGTGTTGTTAACAAGATAATCCATCACATCATCCAAAGACTCCTTCATTTTCTGCAGCTGCCCCTTGCTGGAAGTGAGGAGGCCATCGGACAGTTCCTTAAAGGAGGCAGCGTTGCGGAACACTGAGTAGATGTCTCCAGCCATCACCCCCAAGTGACTGGCCTGATCTTGGATGTTCTGCGGTAACCCCTGGACGTTGCACAGGAGGGTGTGGCACGTGGTCTGGAGCTGCTGAGTCAGGTTTCGGGCAATAGCAAGGGTATGTGACTCGATGTGCTAAAAAAAAAAACAAGTGTAAAAAATTAACAGTGGAGGGCCGGCTCCGTGGCTTAGCGGTTCAGTGCGCGCGCTCTGATGCTGGCGGCCGGGGTTCGGATCCCAGGCACGCCCCAAGGCACCACTTCTCCGTCCAACCCGAGGCCGAGTCCCACGTACAGCAACTAGAAGGATGTGAACCTATGACATACAACTATCTACTGGGGCTTTGGGGGGAAAAAAATGAATAAATAAAATAAAAAAAAAAAAATTAACAGTGGATCCAACAGTGCTATGTGTGAATTAGTTCAATTACAGTAAGCTGGTTATGTGTCCACCACATAGATGGACTCTTTGACTTTTTAAAATCCTTACAACCACCTGGGTGCAGCAGTATTATTCACATTTCATAGATATGCATACTAGCTATTGGGACCTGGAGAACCACTTTCTAGGATTACAATGTGCTATTTCTTGTGTCTGGAACATTAGTCCCTGTATGTCATTTCACCTAGTTTATTCACCCATTGGGTCTCAGCTTAGCACTCACATCCTCCAGGAAGCCATGTGACCACCCTCCTCACTCCAAGGTTGAGTTAGGTACCCTTCCTATATATTCTCATAGCACCTGTATTTATGCCGTCAAAAAACACTGTGACAGTAAAAATGCCTCTCTCCCCTATTAGTCCGTACCCATTATGAGGGCAAGGCCCATGTTTCTCACGTAGTTGTATCCCGTTAAGGGTAATATGCTTATCTGTAGGTTGGTAGATAAAGTTACAGCACAGTTTTGCTTTTCTGTCACATAACAAGCAACCTATGTACATAGTATTGTTCAAACTTTCGATAGAGAAGAGTATTCTAAGAGGAATAATGGGAAAATTGAAATGAAAGCCTGGTAGGAACTTCTTCAGAAACTGTAGCAGGTGACTGGCCAGCTGTCTTACCTCAGCACAGTGGGATTCATCTGTATCGTCATGGCTGATGCTTCTCTTCCACTCCACCCAGGAGAGAGCGAGCTTATCCTGAGCATCCTGTATTTTCTGGTTGGCACTATGCACATTCTTCCTGGCAAATTCAATCTAGAACACAGTGAAATAACACAAAGGAACAAACTAGTCAGAAATTCATGTTAGCCTGTTCTCAGATCCAGGAGGTAAATCAGACATATACATGTAAAATATAAACTAAAATTACAAAAGAGAAAGGAGGGCCAGCCCTGTGGCTTAGCAGTTAAGTGCGCGCACTCCGCTGCTGGCAGCCTGGGTTCGGATCCCAGGCGCGCACCGACGCACCACTTCTCCGGCCATGCTGAGGCCGCGTCCCACATACAACAACTAGAAGGATGTGCAGCTATGACATACAACTATCTACTGGGGCTTTGGGGGGGAAAATAAATAAATAAATAAAATCCTTCAAAAGAGAAAGGAATTCAAAGTTCCTCTTTCCTGTTGTCAGCCACCTACTTCCCCTTCCAAGAATAAACTGGTTTCTAATGGCAGTACAATCCATACTGTTCTATAACTTGGCAATCTTCAATGGCTACACAAGTCTTTTGTGATGTATCCATTTAATTAAATTCCTATTACTTGACATCCATTGTTTATAGTCTTTTGCAACTCTAAACAAATACACATACCTGCAGGATAAATTTCTAAAAGTAAAACTGCTCGAGGCATAGGTGTGTTTGTAACTTTGCTTGAACAGTCCCTTGAATCCTCCAGAAGTGCACAAGTACAAGTTTACCCCTTTCTCTACACCACTGCCCAAGTGTCACACTTTCCCAGTGTGATAGGACAAGATGGGCATCTGTAATTTGACCACTCAGAGTAAGAGTCACATCACTTCATATATTTCAGCTATTTATACTACTACTTCTGTGAGTTGTCTGTAGACTCTTTGCCCATTTTTCTATTGGGTTGTTCATAAGATTAAAATTCTTGGATTTCATGATTACATTTACTCTCATGCCTCAATATAAATGAACTCACTTCAGATACATTTACTCTCATGCCTCAATATAAATGAACTCACTTCAGATACCTTTAAATCAAGTTTCACTCACCAGGTTAACGGTGGAATGGAGCTGAGAAATGGTCTCTTGGCTTTTCTGCTTTGCTTCTTTAACCCTGCTGAGAGCCTGCTGGTAGGCACGTGAGCGGAGCTTCGTAGACAGGGATCCCAGCCTAATATAATAACTTGGCTTCTGAACTGAATCAAATCCTTCGACTTTTTTGGCTTCTTTTTCTGAAGTTAGAAAGAAGGGACAAAAACATATGCAGATCACAGCTATAAGTGACAAGGCCTGGCCTCTAACCTGGATCTTGATTTTGTCAATTCTACCCATCCACCTAACAATTATGCGCTCATTTCCCAAGTCTGCTGCTGGGCTTGTCCACCCAGAACATGTCACTGTATCTGACATTTTCATCTACACATGCCTCTTCCCACTAGGGCTTCTTGGGCAACACAGTACCTGGCACATAGTAAGCACTAAATATTTAACGATTCTTTAAAGCAGCCCATTAAAGACAAGCCATTTATAGGAAATATTTCTCTAGGCTAATTTCTCCCAGATTTTAAAAACTTACTATGTAAAATTCAATGTGAAACTTAAGATTGCATTTAAGAAGGAAAATCTATAGAGACAGATTAGTGGCTGCCTGGGGGAGGGGGCATGGAGATTGACTGCAAACAGGCATGAAGGATCTTTGGGGGTGACAGAAATGTTCTAAGACTGGATTGTGCTCATAGTTGCACAACTCTGTAAATTTACAATGAAAACAGGTGAGTTTTTGGATACATAAAGTATATCTCAATGAAGCTGTTTAACAAGATTGCTTTAAGATATAAAACATGATTTCAAGACAAAAACCCAATTACCTAGTTCTTCCTCAGTGAGAGGAAGGTACTGGTCTACCAGCAGCTCTGATCTGGTGAGCGCATTTTCTACTCCACTGCTCACCAGCTGTACCATCTGACTTCCCAAGACGGTGTTAATGCCGCCATTGACCACAGACTTTGTCTTTTCCACGCTGCCAGTCACCGCGCCTTTGGTCCTGTCCATCACCCCAGTGATCGTGCTGGCCACAGAATCCTTGGCCCCAGTCACAGTAGTCGTCACAGCATCTTTTGCCCCAGTCATAGCACTTTTGGCATTGGCAACCACCTACAAAGAGAAAAGCAGATCACTTGGCTGGGCATAAATACATTTTAAGGTCTTAACTAAGGCAGCATAGTTGAAGAGTTAAAGAAAGAGTCTGGCCCTTTCACTCTCTAGCTTTAGGTCTTGGGCAAGTCACTAAGAGAAATGAGCCTCAATTTCTTTATCAGGTATATTTGCCCTACCTGCCACCACTCAAGGGTTGTTGGAGGAGCAAATTAGGTAATCAGATATAAAATCTGTCAACTTCTCAAGGTGTTATTTTTTAACCAGATGAACCTGTAGTAAGGTACAAGGGGTACTCTAGAGAATGGGATTTTCCATGTTGACATGCTTATACTGTGACAGCAGCTCATGCAGGCCTATGAGCATAGATATACGTACCATGCACACCTGGCCCTATGCACACAGCCCTAGAAGGCCAAAACATAGGCAGAGATGTCAGTTCTCCATCCTACTGGATGTGCTCTCAGATACCAAGTGAGAAAAGGTTCTATATACTACTTCTGCATTTACCAATCCCATATGGGAATCGGTTATTTGAGAGAGCAATTGTATCTGCACAGGCAAAGCAACAAATTGATAGAGACCAGACTAAAAATATTCTAGTCCAAAGGTGACTAGTTCATCTCTGCTTCTTAGACATAACCTGACAACAGTTCAGCAAGTAAGCGAGTGGCGATTATTACTCTTTCAAAAATACATTCAGGTTGAGCAAACAAATAAGTATTTCCTGATTATGGCATGCACAGCCTGTGCTAAACAGAGAGAACATGAAAGCATGTGAGATAGCAAGCCTCAGCATTCTTCCCCCAAGCTCACCTGGTTTGTTGGCTGATTCAGAATAGGCAGTTTCTCCTCAATCCTGTCTAGCCCTTTACAGGCATAGGTATTGGCAACTGCAACTAGAAGAGTCACAAATGGGGAAAATATGCTTATTATAAAAAGCAAGAATGCTGATCTTCATTTACCATGCAATGCATTGACTGGTTTCTCTAGCTCAGACAGAAGAGGCTTAGCAGGTTGCTGGCAACTTTCTTCTACTGACAGAGAAATAAGAGTGTGTGGGGGAGCAGCAGGCAGAGGCAGTGACAGGTAGGAAGTTGGCTAAGAAGGTTCTTCCTCGTCAACTGGCCCCTAAAGTTAATGCCAAGAGAAGCCAGGCTTTCTTGAACCCTTATTCAGGGCATAAGGTGTCTGAAAAATGCTCTCAAAATATCATTTCCCTGCTAGTTTAATCCCTAACTACACTTAATTCAGTAGTGGCAGTGTATTTTGGGTTATCACCAGGAAACAGTATGCTGACAGCACCCTGGATCTCCCTAACAAAACCCAGATTTTAGTCCAAGCTTCCCCTCAATGACCACCAAGCCAAGCACTAGTACTAAATTCCTTTGGGAAGTAGCAGAGTTGGAAAATTGGTCTCTAAAGGTTCCTTATAATCCTAAAAGTCCATGATCTAACCATTTGGGGGAATGATTTATATCTTTATTCAAAAGTAGCTCATAATGTGGAGAAACTGCAAATTTCATAGACTGCTGGTGGGATGTAAAAAGGTGCGGCCACTTTGAAAAACAGTCTAGCAATTCCTCAAAAACTTTAAGAGTTATTACGTGACCCAGCAATTCTACTCTTAGGTATATACCCAAGAGAATTGAGAACATATGTCCACACAAAACATTGTACACAAATATTCTCAGCAGCATTCATTATTCATAATTGCCAAAAAGTAGAAGCAACCCAAAGATCCATCAACTGATGAATGAATAAATAAAATATGATCTATCTACATGATGGATTATTCCACAATAAAAAGGAATGAAGTACTGATCTGATGCTACAACATGGATGAACCTTGAAAATATTATGCTAGGGCCGGCCCCGTGGCTTAGCGGTTAAGTGCGCGTGCTCCACTACTGGCGGCCCGGGGTTCGGATCCCGGGCACGCATCGACGCACCGCTTCTCCGGCCATGCTGAGGCGGTGTCCCGCATACAGCAACTAGAAGGATGTGCAACTATGACATACAACTATCTACTGGGGCTTTGGGGGAAAAAAGGAGGAGGATTGGCAATAGATGTTAGCTCAGGGCTGGTCTTCCTCAGCAAAGAGAGGAGGAATAGCACGGATGTTAGCTCAGGGCTGATCTCACAAAAAAAAAAAAAATATTATGCTAAGTGAAAGAAGCCAGTCACAAAAGACCACATATTTTATGATTCCATTTATGTTAAATGGAACAGGCAAATCTATAGACAGAAGTAGATTAGTAGTTGCCCCCCCGACCCTGGCGCGGTGGGGGGGGGGGTTTGAAAGGAAATGGGGAGTGACTGCTAATGGGGGTATAAAGTTTTTTTTTTATATATTTAAACTGCTTAATCCTTTTTTTCTTTATTTTTTAATTGTAAATAGATATAACATAAACTTCACCATTTTAACTATTTTTAAGTGCACAATTCAGTGGCATTCACAATGTTGTGTAACCATCACCACTATTATTTCCAGAACTTTTTCATCATCCCAAACAGAAACTGGTATGAGGTTTCTTTCTGGGGTGATGAACATGTTCTAAAATTGATCATGGTGATGCTTGCACAACTCTGTGAATATACTAAAAACTACTGGATTATACAATTTAAGTGGGTGAATTGTATGGTGTGTTAATTATATCTCAATAAAGATGTTATTTATTTTTTAAAAAGCAGTTCATGTACACTGTGTAGTCCCAAGAAAGTCAGCTATTTCAGTTCACCAGCTGGCTCCCCTTATGATCTCAGCTGCCAACACAGAAGTATCTCTGGGGGATTTTTTTTAAGTATCATGAGCATCTGCCATTGCTATGAAGCAGGCATTCTATAACGATGAGGGTCACCCGGCAGTTTCTAGGTAAAGGCAGTATGTGCCTCAGGAGAGGCTAAGGATTCCCTGATGTTGCTGCTCTGCGCTTAGGGCATAAGGCTGGCATTAACCATATTCAACCCAACTCATGGCTCACCCCTGCCTGAGGCCCTAGGACTGAATCTTGAGGGGGAAATCAGAACTCACTTTGTGGCTCTAGCTTTTGGATGATAGGCAGAGCACTTGTCATGGCCATGGAGGTGATGGTCTTCACGCCCTTCTCTGCCATCTCACACACAGACTTCAAGTAGGGATACTGGTCCTTTGTACTCATGTAAGCCGAGGAGACAAGGTCATAGGTGGAACTCACCAAGGGTAGGTTGGCCACCCTAGTCACCACACTCTGCAACCAAGGGGGAGGGAAGTGTTAACTTCTCAAATCACACGGGGAGGGAAAGAATCAAGAAACAGCCATTTAAAATTCATACCGGTTGTGGATCAACTGCAGCAGATGCCATCTTGCTTCCTGGAGAAAGAAGAAATCTGAGGAAAAGAAACTTATTTCGGGACACTAGGATAAGACTCTCTCAGATTCATTCCCCAACCCAAGTAAATGCTAATTTCGTAGAGAAAACTTCCTGCTGAGGTTAAGTGTAGTTTTCTGCACTTCTTCCCACACTCTAGCTCTCAGCGCTCTCCCGGAGCAGGGCAGACACTGTCTGAGGCAAGGTTCAGAGCTCACGGTAAACTCAATAGAAAACAGGCTCCGCAGGGAAAAGCAAAGTTGTTGACACATTTGTCGTTTCTCCACCAGGATACTAAAAATACCTTTTGAAGAGGAATATCTTTTTACAAAAATGCGAACCAAGTTAAAATCCATGTTAAAACTAGAGATTTCAAGTAGAAGACATCTTGGACAGTCAGGACTATCAAGTTGGAGCACGTTGGGAGAATTTATTCTTTCCTTGTTAAAGGACTGAAACTAGTTTAGGGGAGACTAAGCAAAGAGGAAGGAGATGCTCCGAGGAATTGAGAAACATTTCAGCTTTTAAACGTAAATTGAGCGTCCCCAACGACCCAAACCCACAAAACTGCCTCATGCTAAGCAGCTGAGCTGGGAAAGAAAAGAACCTACGCAGCTCGCCATCGGCCACTTCCGGGCCAGTCGTCCCAGTTCTACAAGAAATGAGTAAGAACCACCCGGAACGCAGAAGGCAAGCGCCAGCATCGATACCCCGCTGTCACCGTGCACCCTATAAAAGTCTGCTTTAGGGAGATTTTCTAAGGCATTTCCTTTTAAAGAATCTATTTTCGGGACAAAAGGAAACTGTTACCCCGTAACCAAGCCAAGAAGTTACAGCCTCACTAAGGCTGCTGGCAGAAAAGCAGCCTCCACGAACAAAAGCGGGGCCGACAGCGCAGGCCCGGGAGCGCGCCCTGCCCAGCCAGCGGCCGGAGACGGCCGCGGGGCCGCGAGGCGTGCAGCCTGGAGTCCCGCGGGGGCCGGAGCAGCGGCCCCCCCAGGACTGCCCCCCGGCGCTGCGGGGGACCCGAGCCGGCTCGCTGATCACAGAGGGGGCGCGCACCCACCGACCACAGCAGGGAAGAGGCGAGGGTCCGGCGAGTCGCAGCGGCCAGCTCCGGCAAGCCCCGCGGCGGTCTAGCAGCGCGGCCGCGGGCGCCCGGCTATATACCCCGCCCCGCCCGCCCCCGCGCCACGTGAACGGCCGCCCAGCCGAGTGTCGCCCTCTGCTGCCTCCCTGCGCCGTCACCCCACCGCCGCCCGCCTCGAGGAGCACGGGCCCCTGCCTGGGTGAGGAGGGGTCCTGCCTGGGTGGGGGCCCCGCCTGGATTAGGGGTCCTGGGAGGCCCGTGGCCAAAATGCGGCCGGTTCCCCCGTGGGCTTTGTGGTTTTGCAAAAGGCCGCGAGGAGTCGCGCGGACATCTTACCAGTAACTAACCTGTTGATTACTGTCAGCGTTCAGAATAGAAACCGTCTTTCAAAATGGAAATAGTGGCTTCTAGACTGTTATTTTTAGCAAATAAATAGCCTGTAAAGCTTTGTGAAATTCTAACCCGGCGATGACTCTGTAGAGATTTCTGATTTACTGCTCTTTTGACTTTAAAGTCCGTTTTTCAAACATCTGTCTAAAGTTGAATCAGAATTTACAAAAGGACCTTAGAATATTATTGATCTTTTTTTCTCAGGGAGATTTAAACCTCAGATCACTCCGGGATGAAACCTGCCTATGCTTGTTATGCAAAACGACCTTTTTCTTTTAAGTTGTGGGTTATGCTTTTTTTTTTTTTTTTAAGAAATCAACATTTGAGTCCTAGTTTGTTTGTGTGTAAAATGCAGGGACTTAACCAGATTATTTGAGCAAGAAGTTGTGCAACTGCCCCGAGCTAGGTAGGAAAGTTCCGTGGACCTCTCCCTGAGTGAGTGGCGGGGGATCTCCACCTAACGTTCCCGCGGGCCTCGGCCTCCGCGAGCTCTCTCTCGGGGAAGGTGAACAAGTGATGTGGATAGAGGGGAGGTGCGCAGGGGAGCTGGCGCCGGGATTGGCCCCCAGGTCCTCGGTCTCCAGAATGGGGAGCAAGAGGCGGCGGCGATGACTCAGGAGCCTGGCGGTGGGCTTTGTCAAGCAGTGAAGTTGGAATTGTGGGAAGCCTTCAGTGGTATTCACCTCAATTACTTAACTAATGTTGCATGCACATAGATAGTGTTTATCATATTCAAAGCTCCAAACTGATCCATCAAAAATGTATCCCTTATACTGAATACATCTAGAGGCCTTCAGAAAGAAAAAACAATTATGGTATTCCCCCCACCCCTGCACGTAATTCAAAATAAAACACAATACTAAACCACAAAGTAACTGGTAGGAAGTTTAAAAAAGTTATGGGTTTTTTTTTCCTCCCTCTTTTGACATCTTCATTGCTTTAAGCAAATTATTTTTTCTTTTCTTTTTGGTGTTCTGGCTTTGTTGGTGCTCTAAGCAGATGTTTTGTGTTCTGTTGTTAATCCCCCTACCCTGATATAAGAAGGCAGGAATGTACTGAATTTTGAATAATAATGTTAGTCGTTTATTTACGTCTCCCTAATCTAACCTCTTATTTTGCAACAGAAGCCTCTTGCCCTTTCACCTACAAATGCCTCCCTCTTCTTTTTTGTCTTAAACCTGTGAATCACTTGCCCTCTTTAAGGATGAGCATGCTTCCTTTTGCCTGTGAAGGAGAGGGCTCCAGGGACTAACCTTGGGGCCAGACTCTCCACGCCCACAGAGGCTAAACCACACCAAATTCTGCACCTGCAACTCTCTTTCATCTTCTTGAGTCTGTGAGAACACAAGCTAGTGACAAGAATAACACCCAAGTCCTCCAGGTGATCCTGATAGTCTCTAAAGTTTGAGAACCTTTGTTTTACAAAAGTGTTTTTTCATAGTTGGTCAGGGGACTAGTGCATCAGAATCACCTAGAGTGCTTGTTAAACATTCTGCCTTCTACCCCAGACCTACTGAGTGTCTGTGTATGGGAGTGAGGCCCAGGAGTCTGCATTTTCAACAATACCCCTTTTGAGTACCACCACTTTACTCTTCACAAAGCACGCTCACGTGTTCCTCATACTTGAGCTTCACAACAACCTGGAAACTCAATGAAATGGGAATTATTACTCCATCTTCATAATGAAGAAATAGCCTCCGAGATGTTAGATGATTTGTCCACAGTCCTATGACTGCCTAAGCAGCAAGCCAGGCAAAACTTGGAGATGGAGAAAGGTTTATTTGAATTCGCCAAATGAGAAGGCAGGAGCATGGGTTCTCTTAAGTCCCCCTTAAGGAGAGAAGAAAGTGGGATTATATAGAGCTAAGGGATGTGGCAGGAGGAGTTTCAGAGAAACCAAGGGGTGATCAAGGGTCACAAGGATTTATGAGCTTGTTTTACAGAAGAAAGAGAATGCCTTCAAGGATCACCAGATAACCAGCCCCCAGCTGCCGTTGGCACCCAGAAGTCAGATTGCCCAGGAGGTTATCGGTAGTGAAAGAAACACGGATTACCCCTTTGTTTCCCCAAAACTCCTCATGCCACATCCCTTACCCCTATAAAACCTCCTGCTTTCTTCTCTTGTTAAGGCGGATTTGAGAGAACCCATGCTCCCACCTTCTCATTTTGGCCAATTCAAATAAACCTTTCTCCATCTCCAAGTACTGATGTCTCATTGTTTGATTTACTGCATATCAGGCACATGAACTTCAGATTAAGAGGTTCAGTATCACATTCAGCAGTTAGAATAATGCCAGGTACATAGAAATGGTAGCTATTTTTCATGTCTTCTGACCACACCCAGAGCCTTTTTCCCCAAGAAAGCCTTACTGGGTATTGGGCTGAAGAGAGCTCAGCTCATAGGGGAAGTAGAAGGGGCCCCAAGGGACCAGCATATCCCAGGCTCTGCCTAGTCTTCCTTCCTGGGCTACAACGTATGGGACGTTCTGTTGACAAAGACACATTTCCTAGAGTTTGTAGCAACTCAACCTTCTTTGGGTATATTATTGATACAAAGTAATAGTGAGAAAAAAATCTGGCAGTGAAGTTTCTGTCACTGACTAATTGCCCCAAGGAACTCAGGGGAGGTTTCAGAAGCATTTAACTGTTTCTCCAAATTGTTGTTTTGTTATATTAAGAGATGCAATCACCAACCACCCTGAACCAGACTGAGCCCCACTGCAAGAGCAGCACCCACACAGATGAGCCGAGAGATGCCAACTGAGCCTATGCAAGCAAATACCCACCACTCCCTTTTGAATATTCATTCCCCACCCAAAATAAAAGGCCTCTGCTTCCCTTTGTTCAGGGACAGCCATGACTTTGGAAATGATTCTGTGCAGGCTCCTATTTGTTACAAATATACTTTACTTTGTATGACAACTACTTCTGGTGGAGAGTATGATTTTAACTCGCCAGGAGGTGAACCCACTTTGGTTTGGTAACATTTCCTCTTTCAGAGGCAGGGCAACTGCCACCTTCCCCCCTTGTCCTTTCTCTTCCCTCCCCCATAAGCACTGTGTGCCCCAGCTACATCCACCTCTCTCCCCTCCTCCATGCAGGGCTCTCTCCCTCTCATACCTCTCTCTGTGGACATACCCTTGTTCCCTCTGCCTGGAATGCCTGCCCATCTGGCAAACTCTACTCACTCTGTACAACTCAGCTGTTCACCTCTGTGAGACCCTCCTCAGCCCCAAGGTCACAAACTAGTAAGTGGCAGAAATGGGCCTTGAACCGGGTATATCTTGACTCTAGAATCTACACTGTTGATCATTATGTGGTGTGTGCTCTTAGGCAATAAATACAGTTGACCCACATAGGTCTCAGTGCCTGTAAGATGAAGCGCTTAAATGATATCTAGGATGCCTTCCAGCTGTATTATCTGAATCCAAAAAACAACAATACCTTAGATTGTTTATAGCTTCACAATGGCCTTTCAGTAAATATTATCTCAAACCAGTCAGGTGTCTTTACCTGTTCCTTTGTCACAAGAC